TTTCTCTAGCGGTAAATCCAGTCGATTAAGACTTGATCAGACCAAATTGACCGTATCAGACTGAAATCTTGCTACTAGTGACGGTTATACAAGATTGATGAACGCACGATACACGGTTAAGAATGAATGATTGATGAGCGCACGTTACACGGTTAAGAATGAATGATTGATGAGCGCACGATACACGGTTAAGAATGAATGAGCCGGATGCACGCACGTTACACGGAAAACACACGGAATGATGAACGATGAGCGCACGATTGGTACACGCACGATACACGCACGATACACGATGAACGCACGGAAAATGGTCAGTTTGAATTTTAGAAGGTCTGTACTACATATATATTCTTGAAAGACATTTCAGACAACTTAACACGTGAAAAACTATTGTATTACTGAACAACTAATTTATGGGGAGTTTTCGTATTTTTGATGACTGTTTAGTTCAATCTCAAGTCGAACAGTTAATTATAGTACATGTAACATGTATGATATAGGTAAAAAAAAATACAGGTAAATGTGGCGTAATTTGATTCCATTTATTAGCGCAATTAATACCATAAGAAAAATAGAGAGTGGCGCAATTGATACCTTTTCAAAACTGTAATTGGCGCAAATTGATTCTGCCCCAAATTATACAGATAAATTAAAATTAATTTTAAGGTTGTTATGATTGTTTGATTGACAGGGTTCTGGACATGCATTATAAATAAACAGTTAAATTCATGGGCCCTTAATTTGCTTAAAACAATTGTACACTAGATACATTATCAATATGTTGCTTTCAGATATCTTTTCTATTTAAGAATTATCTTATTCATGTTAAGAAGAAAGAGTGGTATTGGGATTGTAAGATCATGACACACACAAGAGGCTAGTCTTTAAAATATGTATGTTTGTTCCAGGCTTATACCTCTACTGGTACAAAACTACTATAAACCTATAAATCTGGGACCATATTGGTCTTTTAGCTTTGGTGCTGTCATGCAGGTACACCTTTTAGCCATCAAGCCAAGGCATCATCATCTTGAATAGATATAAGAAGATGTGGTATGAGTGTCAACGAGACAACTCTCCATCCAAGTCACAATTTGTAAAAGTAAACCATTATAGGTCAAAGAATGCATTGCTTTGGTATTTACATGCTTTGTTATATGGTTCAAGGAAAATTTATCAATGATAGATTTCACATATTTAAGAGATCTTTCAAAGGTTAAAGCCATAGATGTTTGTTCTGTCATGTTTGGGTGAAAAGCTTCTATCCCATGAAGTGAGGATGCAAAGCAGACACCAACAGTGTCACTGTCTGCTTTACCAAAGACGACATTGGAGTTCTCTAAAAGGCCTTTCAGAACATCCACCCATGTTCCATCTATAAAGAATAGGTGAACATCTTATTTTTCATAAAATGTTCCTCTCCTACGACTGGAGCATAAGGGGAATGCTATCCACTGTCTGTCTTTTTGACATTTTTGGCAGACTTTTTTCTAATCTATGGCATTCAAACGCTTGCTCTGAACACAGTGTACAACAAGCGCTGTAAAGATAGTAAGTAGTATTTAATTCGATGTGATGTTCAGTGGGGATGGCTACCAGGTCGTTCACTTTTTGGTACAGTAGTAACACAGGCGCTTGGGTATATGATACAGATTTTTTTTTTTTTTTTTTGTTGTTGATTAAAATAGTCCATTTTCTATATTTATACTACATATCTATCACTACTGCGCATGTCTCACCTAGTTTCGAGTGATTTTACCAACTCTGAGACAAACCCCCATTTTACTATCCACACTAAGAAACAAAAAGGCAACTTACTCGACGCCATCTTGCGTGCTATAAATAAATAATAAAATTGACCTACCTGGATTCCCCATCGATTTTTATGGAAAACATGCCTTTCTCGCAGTCCGATCGCAGACGTCGTTTCTATTTATCAAATTGGTACTGTTCGTAAATTTTTAGTCTATCTCAAGCATATAATATAACTAGGTGAGACATGCGCAGTAGTGATAGATATGTAGTATAAATATAGAAAATTGAATATTTTAATCAACCAAAAAAAAAAATCTGTATCATATACCCAAGCGCCTGTGAGCTAAATGTATTTGTATTCTTGTTCGCTTAGCTTTAGTTTTTGTCGGGCCTGCGACTTTTGTCGCAGAAAGCTCGACATGGGGATAGTGATCCGGCGGCGGCGGCGGCGCCGTTAGCTAACTTCTTAAAAGCTTTATATTTTAGAAGGTGGAAGATCTGGATGCTTCATACTTTGTATATGAATGCCTCATGTTACGAAGTTTCCGTCAGTCACATGTCCAATGTCCTTGACCTCATTTTCATGGTTCAGTGACTACTTGAAAAAAAAGTTAAGATTTTTTGTAATGTTAAATTCTCTCTTATTATAAGTAATAGGATAACTATATTTGGTATGTGCGTACCTTGCAAGATCCTCATGCCTGTCAGACAGTTATCGCCTCATTTCATGGATCAGTGAACAAGGTTTTGGTGGTCAAGTCCATATCTCAGATACTATAAGCAATAGGTCTAGTATATTCGGTGTATGGAAGGACTGTATGGTGGACATGTCCAACTGGCAGGTGTCATCTGACCTTGACCTCATTTTCATGGTTCAGTTGTTATAGTAAAGTTTTTGTGTTTTGGTCTATTTTTCTTATACTGTATGCAGTATGCAATAGGTCTACTATATTTGGTGTATGGAATGATTGTAAGGTGTACATGTCTAGCTGGCAGGTGTCATCTGACCTTAATCTCATTTTCATGTGTCAGTGGTCAAAGTTAAGTTTTTGAGTTTTGGTCTTTTTTTCTAATACTATATGCAATAGTTCAACTATATTTGGTGTATGGAAATATTTTATGATCTTTATGTCAGTCACGCAGGTTTTAATTGACCTTGACCTCATTTTCAAGGTTCATTGCTCAGTGTTAAGTTTTTGTGTTTTGGTCTGTTTTTCTTAAACTATAAGCAATAGGACAATTATATTTGTTGTATGGAAGAATTGTTAGCTGTTCATGCCTGCCTAGCATGGTTCATCTGACCTTGACCTCATTTTCATGGTTCATTGGTCAATGTTTAGTTTACTTGGTTAATGTTAAGTTCATGTGACAGTTGTAATAAAGCTTTATATTTAGGACTATCAACATAATATCAATGATTAGTAAAGAAGGCGAGACATTTCAGCGTGTGCACTTTTGTTAATATTTGCTCTGCTATATTGTTACTTTTTGTGATTAGTTGCTTTTTGATTTAACAAAGACACAGCTTACGTTTTTGTGTAGTTTATATTACCAACACAAGTATTATTTATATGATATATAATAGACATTGATATGAGACAGCATATGAGAACATGTACTTTAATAACTTAAACAGGTTAAAGTCTAATTGGTATAATTGTCATTGAGACAAGTAACTGCTATTTTATCCACAGTATAAATTTTTGTGACCAGATACATAATTATGTATGTGAGCCAAAATTTGTTCCTGTGAAAAAAAATTCCAGTGGAACTAATATCACAGTAAATATGTTCTGGCAGAACTTTTTTCACAGATAATTTCTATATAATATATGTTCCATCTCTATAAAATAAGTTCCACACTTTACCTGGTGAAATAAGTTCTGGGTTGGTAAAATTTGTTCCTTACCTAGTGAAATAAGTTTCTGGTTTATGAAATTTGTTCCTTACCTGGTGAAATAAGTTCTGGGTTTGTGAGATTTGTTACTCACCTGGTGAAATAAGTTCCTTGTCTGTGAAATTTGTTCCACTGGTCAAACAAGTTATCTTATATACTGAGCATTTGTCATCAGTGAGTTTAAAGTTATCATTCACGTGCATTATAAAATAAGTATTATATGGATAATATAATAAATAAAAAGTGTAAATCATCCAATTCGGATCCTTTGGAGTATTGCAAATGTTTAATTATATACTCCGTAAAAATATCAAAATGACACTTTTGAGCTAGAAAAGAGTAGAATAAGAAAAATCATTCAGAAAAAAAGTATAGTTAAAGATGAACATATGTACTAATTTGAAAAGGACAAAGTGACTGATCAATTATATCGAAAGATATGTAGAAACAAAAGACACACTCTTTTGAAACTGTGCGATGACCTAAGTACATATACAAAAGAAGATGTGGTATGATTGCCAATGAGACAACTCTCCACAAGAGACCAAATGACACAGAAATTAACAACTATAGGTCACCATACGGCCTTCAACAATGAGAAAAAATGTATGACTAGAAAATGGGACCATAACAGTTAACAGAATTCCAAGGAGGAATACCACATAGAACATAAATAAAAATTATGATACATTACCATCGCTTTTATTTCTTATCTTCATCCTATAGTTACAGTCATGCCTTCAATTGCAAATGTATCCCATGCAAACACACTCAGTACAGCATTTAGCTTGCATTATAATTTAAGTGTAACAAGAAAATGTTTCGCTGTGCAATATGTTGCAAAGGTACTTATTTTCTGTGAAAATAGGTTTGAGCCGAACTTATTCATTGATTTTTATGAAATATGTACATGTTTGTTTAAAACTTATATCACAGGAACTTATTTAACTTTTTTAATACTTTTAATAATATAGCTATGATTTTTGTTCGGGAACTTATTTCACATTTGGTCAAAAAATTAGTTCCGGAACAAATTTTACAGTGTGTGGAACATATTTTCTGTGATATAAATTCCGGTGGAACATATTTCCTATGAAATTGGTTCCGGCGGAACAAATGTCACGCCGGAACAAATTTTTTGTTACAAAAAGTTACATCATTGAACTTCGTTGTCGTCTGAATAAAAGTTACAGAACCCTAGATCGAATTTAGTTATTTATTACCAAAAGCCTGAAGAATCCGGCTTTTACACTTGCTCTGTTACACAGATATTTTATTGTGCTCCAAATAGTGGAGGAATTTACTTTAAAGAAAGAAAGATATGATAATGCTAGTTTCATTCCCCCGACACGTGTTTTCCTTGTAGAGAAAATTATATTCCCCCGAGAAAAGTAAGTTTTCTGTCGTCAGTAGACAAATATTTATCTTATATTTTTACTAACTGAATAAGAAATATTGGGTAACCTTAATGCTGTTCATAACGTAACAACGAAGAAGCCAAGTAACGCTCGAACAGTCTGACATAAAAATAACTGTTATCATGGTGATGTCAACATATATTTGGGGAAGTTGTTATAGTATTTAAACTTCAGTCATATATTAGCAATATAACACGTAAAGCTTTGATAATCTGATCACCTGTAATCACAGGTGTTTGTGACAATTTGCCGGGTTTACTATCCATACGAACCCCGAAAAAATCACAAAGGAGGAAGCTCATTTGCGACAGTGCTTCGAATTATTGTTTCAAAATTTTTCTAAGACTTTCACTTACTTTGTGACCTGAATAGATCTGTTCCCACTTGATTTATCTCTTCAATGACATATATGTATTCCCTTAAGGGAGCTACCATTTGATTTTTATGGGGGGGGGGGGGGGGGGGGGGGGGGCAAGGATGAAATTTGAAAAAAATAGGCAGGACAGGAGTTTTGAGTAAAAAAAAAGGCAGGATGAGACACTTTGCAAAAAAAAAAGGTAGGATGACAATTTATTTAAAAAAAAAAGTCAGGTTAACTAAAAAAAAAAAGCAGGACTGAATAGAGTGAAAAATAAAAAGGCAGGACAGAGATTATAAATTAAAAAAAATGTAGGACAAAATTTTTCATCCTAGCCCCTCCATACATATCAAATGGTAGCTCCCTAAGTAACCTCTATAACCATTGTAATCCTTAAAACGAACTTGACATTTCTGGAATAGAATAGCTATTCCAATGGTCACTAGGTGGAGGTATATTTCCAGTGAAAAAATGTGCATGAGACTGTGGTCTCTTCTTACCACATGACAAATGTTCAATGTTGTTGGCATGACACGGGTTATGTTCTTCTCATATATGTTATGATGGTATGATACTAAACCCCTAACGGGAAGGATTGTGCCTGATATTCATATGATGAAGACATAATCGTTCAATCAGTTTAATTGAAGTCTGGAGCTGGCATGTCAGTTAACTGCTAGTAGTCTGTTGTTATTTATGTATTATTGTCATTTTGTTTATTTTCTTTGGTTACATCTTCTGACATCAGACTCGGACTTCTCTTGAACTGAATTTTAATGTGCGTATTGTTATGCGTTTACTTTTCTACATTGGCTAGATGTATAGGGGGAGGGTTGAGATCTCATAAACATGTTTAACCCCTCCGCATTTTTGCGCCTGTCCCAAGTCAGGAGCCTCTAGCCTTTGTTAGTCTTGTATTATTTTTAATTTTAGTTTCTTGTGTACAATTTGGAGTTTAGTATGGCGTTCATTATTACTGAACTAGTATATATATTTGTTTAGGGGCCAGCTGAAGGACGCCTCCGGGTGCGGGAATTTCTCGCTGCATTGAAGACCTGTTGGTGACCTTCTGCTGTTGTCTGTTCTGTGGTCGGGTTGTTGTCTCTTTGACACATTCCCCATTTCCATTCTCAATTTTAATATCAGAATGAGGTGACTTTCATTTTAGGCTACTTTCATTTGAATCCATTTGAGCATGAAAAAAAGAGGTCTTCATTTCAACCATTTCAAGAGCGATAATTTATAACGATCAACGTTAAGCAGTCAGGTGAAAACATCGTACAAACGACTAATGTTAGTTTTTTTGTAACCTTAAGTGCATTCCAGAAAGAAAGAAAAAAAAACATGTGTTGTCAAATAAGTTGGAGTAAGGATTTTATATATGTACTATATACATGATATAAATCCTTGGTGGGAGAGATAGGTGGCGACTTTTGTTGATTATATTTTCAAAACACATGTCATGTATGATTTGTTTGTTTTTATGCATTTTGAATGAGTTTGAAGCAAGTGGCAGACATTTTGAAGAAGGCATAGAAAAGTTGAGAAAATTTGTATTATGAGTGACATAATACAAGCAATTTATACAACTTACACCTGCAAAAACACTTTTATGAGTTGTCCCCGCAGATAAAGCCCCAAACAACATCGTTTTTGTGTGTAAATATCATTACATAAACTGCTTGATAAATGAATTAGGTATTGACAATTCACTTGGAAACTCAACATATACCCTCATGACACTTACCAAAGAGGAAATCCTAGATAATCATAGGTCTGTTCTATGTTCCTTTGGAATTTCAACCAAAGACGAATAACTGGATCTTCCATCACTGTATTGGATACCTAAACTACATAAGTGTCCTTACAAACAACGGTATATTGCTGGGTCTTCCAAGTGCTCCACGAAACCTCTTTCTAAATTATTAACATCTATTTTATCAGCAATCAAAGCCGGGCTCCAAAGTTATTGTGAAACTGCTTATTCTAGAGGTGGCATGAATCAGATGTGGATACTAAAAAATTCCAAAGATCTTTTAGAGTACATACAATCTAAGACTCTCTCATCTTGCCAATAATATTAAAACATTTGACTTTTCTACACTTTACACAAGTATTCCCCATTCCAAACTAAAAGACAAATTGAAAGAGTTGGTATTACTTTGTTTCATTAAAAAGAATGGCGAACGTAGATACAAGTATCTTGTCTTGGGGAGGGATAAATCCTACTTTGTAAAGAATCACTCTGATTCAAACAAAAAATTCTCTGAAACTGACATTATCAAGATGCTTGATTTCTTGATTGACAACATATTTGTTACGTTTGGAGGACGTGTTTTTCAACAGACTGTCGGAATTCCAATGGGAACCAATTGTGCCCCTCTTCTTGCCGACTTGTTTTTTTATTATTATGAGGCTGACTTCATACAGGAGCTTCTTAGGAAGAGAGATAAGAAGTTAGCAATATCCTTTAACTCTACGTTCCGCTTTTTAGATGATGTTCTCTCACTAAATAATACAAAATTTGGTGACTATGTTGAACGAATCTATCCCATCGAACTAGAGATAAAGGATACTACAGATACAGTTAAGTCTGCCTCATATCTTGACTTACATCTAGAAATTGACAATTAGGGTCGGTTGAAAACAAAACTTTACGACAAAAGAGATGATTTCAGCTTCCCAATTGTGAACTTTCCATTTCTATGTAGCAACATTCCAGCAGCACCTGCATACGGAGTATATATCTCCCAATTGATACGATATTCCCGGGCTTGTGTTTCCAATCATGATTTCCTTGATAGAGGATTGCTGCTCACGAGGAAGCTATTAAACCAAGAGTTCCAAATGGTGAAGTTGAAGTCATCCCTTCGTAAATTTTACGGACGCCATCACGAGTTGGTTGACCGTTATGGAATAACCATTTCACAGATGATATCGGATATGTTCCTTATGTCGTAACTACAATACCCTTCCCTTTTCATGAATGTGACTTACCGAATTAGACTATTTACCGGATTTGTAATAACATAAGCAACTCAACAGGTGCCACATGTGGAGCAGGATCTGCTTACCCTTCCGGAGCACCTGAGATCACCCCCAGTTTTTGGTGGGGTTCGTGTTGCTTAGTCTTTAGTTTTCTATGTTGTGTCATCTGTACTATTATTTGTCTGTTTGTCTTTTTATTTTTGGCCATGACGTTGTCAGTTTGTTTTCGATCTATGAGTTTGACTGTCCCTCTGGTATCTTTCGTCCCTCTTTTACACTGACCGATGTCTAAAATTATCCAATTTTTGCAAGATTAACTTTTCCCAAACTACTGCCCCACACGCACTGTGGGACAGCAAGTAATTCAAACAAAACTGAATTTATAATATCTTTAAGGGTCATATATTATTTTACAGTTTTTGTAATCTAAATTATAAATACTGACAAACACAGGCTAGATTACTGTTGTAAAGTTTAGCTGTCTCCCCTTCCCCCATTAAAGAATCCTGATATTGGTCTGGCATGTAATCGGCAAAATTGAATATCTATATAGATTATTGTATCTTCTGTTTGTCTTTGTGTCTTCTCTTTGCTATCATCCAAGAGACCATGGACATCTGACAGTCTAAACTGTTATACAGCTCGTGGTCTCATCTTTCTGTTATTATCCAAGAGACCATGGACTGTGTAAACTATTATAGGGCTCATGGTCTCTTCTATCTGTTATTATCCAAGAGACCAGGTACTGTGTAAACTGTTATAGGGGTCATGGTCTCATCTTTCTGTAGTTATCCAAGAGACAATGGACTGTGTAAACTGTTATAGGGGTCATGGTCTCATCTTTCTGTTATTATCCAAGAGACCATGGACTGTGTAAACTGTAATAGGGCTCATGGTCTCTTCTATCTGTTATTATTCATGAGACCATGGACTGTGTTAGCTGATATAGGGGTCATGGTCTCATCTTTCTGTTATTATCCAAGAGACCATGGACTGTGTAAACTTTTATAGGGCTCATGGTCTCTTCTATCTGTTATTATCCAAGAGACCAGGGACTGTGTAAACTGTTATAGGGGTCATGGTCTCTTCTATCTGTTATTATCCAAGAGACCAGGGACTGTGTAAACTGTTATAGGGGTCATGGTCTCTTCTATCTGTTATTATCCAAGAGACCAGGGACTGTGTAAACTGTAATAGGGGTCATGGTCTCTTCTATCTGTTATTATCCAAGAGACCAGGGTCTGTGTAAACTGTTATAGGGGTCATGGTCTCTTCTATCTGTTATTATCCAAGAGACCAGGGACTGTGTAAACTGTTATAGGGGACATGGTCTCTTCTATCTGTTATTATCCAAGAGACCAGGGACTGTGTAAACTGTTATAGGGGTCATGGTCTCTTCTATCTGTTATTATCTATAGCTAAGAGACAAGGGACTGTATAGTGTAAACTGTTATAGGGGTCATGGTCTCTTCTATCTGTTATTATCCAAGAGACCAGGGACTGTGTAAACTGTTATAGGGGTCATGGTCTCTTCTATCTATTATTATCCATGAGACCATAGACTGTGTTAGCTGTTATAGGGTTCATGGTCTCATCTTTCTGTTATTATCCAAGAGACCATGGACTG